CTGATGCCGAGCACCTCGAAGTTGTATCGTTTCATTTCTGCCGCAACTTGAAATAGTCTTCCAGTCTCCCACAATGTACGAACGTTCCATGTACCTAAAAAAATGGTTGCTCTGGTTGTCAGAAGAGGCATCAGCCCCGTGACTTCCGAGGGAACTCGGCTTTCATCACGAGACGTCATAATTCTTCTTCCAACTCCCAGGGCAGAGTTAAAATGGTTTGAATTATTTTTTCTGGTTAGCGTTTTTTGGCAAGTGAGATTTCAACCCCATGTCCAACCCTCCTCCTTTATCCGGGCTTGGGACCGGCAGTAGCCCCTAAGGTTCTACTGGCGGAGTTCTGCGTCCAAGCTCTCCACAAGAAACACGGATTCACCCAAGATGCTGACGTCTTCAACTTCTAGTTCATCAACGGGGCAAAGAGAACCAGCGGGCACCATAACTGCTTGAAATGTTGAAGTGATTGTCCATTTGATCTTTTTCCGAATGTTCTCCAAGGTTGTGCTTTCTCCGCTGAGTAGATGCGTCCAAGGGTTGACACATGCTGCTGAAGCGCTATCTTCAAATCGTTCAGTGTCGGGGTATCCGGAAGAAAGGCCAAAATAAACTTGTGTGATGTTGTCTGGCCCGTTTTCAAGTGTCCTTTGACATTAATTTGTATTGCTGACTGAAGGCCAAATAACCAGTTATAGCTAAATCAACGGATTTCTGTTTCTCAAGTACTACATGGTCATTCTGAAGCTTTAATTGATGCGGATATGGTCGATTTGATTCTGAATAAAGTGATGCTGTGAACTTTATGTAGCTATGATGATTTGCTTGTTTGGGAATATTGTGCCACGGATGATCAGTTTGTTGAATGTGCATAAATTTGCAAATCTATCACCGTTCTCGTTTCTTTGTGTCTGTCCATGTTTTTCTGTGATGTCTTCATATTCAGTGTTTTCAATGCCAACCTGAGTATTTGAGTCTACCATCAGAACCGTCCAATGCTTTCAGAAGCATCAGCCGAAAATCGACTTCAAACTCTCGTAGAATTGACCTTTCACGTCGTCATTGCTGTCATATTTAGGTGCGTAGCATTGAATAACGTTCATTGTAATGCTCTGGTTCTTTGTTTGGAATGTTCTCTGATGACACCGTGTTCATGAGACTCTCAGTCTTTCAGTGCCGCTTGTCTGTCTTTGAACAGCATCACTGCTACTCCTTGTGTGTGTGTGAAGCGATTTCCTCTTCATGGCTAGAGTATAACAGTAGCACGTCCTGCTTTTGCAATCTGCGTTCAATTAGGTTCACTGATTCCAAGCACCTATGAGTTGCGCCTTTTCATCTCTACAGCAACTTGAAAAAAATCTAGAGTCTAGCACGAAGTTCGAACATCGGGTGTACCTGGAAGAATGGTTTTCATATATGTTAGAAGGGGCAACTGTCCCAGCTTTGATCATGAAACGTGGTAAATTCTCGTAAGACAATGATGAAATATGTCTTTAATAATAAACAGTGCTAACCAGAGTAATATATCTATTATATAAAAAAATAACTAAATGATGAAATTTGGCAAAGTGTTTCTATAACTGTCTTGACAAACTGATATGAGTTTTGATTTTTTCTGACGTTGTGACCTGATAAATTCTTTAGAAATGATTTCTGCCTTTAAAAATTGGTCATATAATCTGTATGGTGACTCTGCAATAATGCGCCATTCTTAAATATACAAACGGAATGAAATAATGAAGAAATAGAAGGAATAGTTATATGTGTTATAATTGAGTTTCAGAATTTTCACTACATGCTTTATTTCTTTTAAATCATATCACTTACTCAAGTTTTAGTGTCGATCAGCAATAAAGTAAACAAAATAAGAATACTTCGTGCACATCATGAAATCAAGCTGAATCAGAATAACTAACGTCTATTGTTTATTACATTATTCATTTTCGATTTTCAATACCTTTATGAAATTCCAAATGGTGATACGATATCTGGGACAGAGGATTATCAGAAATATACGACCTGAATTTTCAAATGACGATTGGGACTGGTTATCAATCAAACGAAAATTGCTATAAAATAATAATTGTTTACTTCACTATGAGCTTTCCGCGGCAGAAGCATCGAACTCATAAGGATAGTAAAACCAAACGAGGGAAATAAAACTAGCAATGCAGTAAACAATCATAGTTCATTTGACAAAATTTGGAAAGAAATGTTTGACCCCGGAAGATATGTTCAACTCTAACATCTGAGAGAAAGAAAATTTTATTCCTACTCAGGCTTTATTGATTGCGTCTCAATAGGCATGAGTGAGAACACATTATCACGAATGGCATTGCATGATTCGTAGACCCCGCATAGTTGACGGTTATGATGACAAGCACTTGTTTTGTAATAGTGATCTGTTCAGTGAAGTACTATACAGTTCTTGTGATGGACGTTTTACTACAGTCAGAATGAACACCTTTCAATAAGAACTCAGAGACTGCCACAAATGTGTATGAATTTGTGCTTCTGTGTCATTCAACAACATGATAAGCATTTTGCCTCGAAAACCCATGCAGGACGCTGCAGGTGCCTTACAAAACGATGATATTTAGACTGAAATCGATCACAACATACGAAATTCATCATTTCATTGCAAGACATAACACATCAAGAAAGAGCTTTAGTATTCACAACTAATGATCAGTGGTCTTCAGTAAAACAATGTAAAACTGTCGATCAAATATCTTTGGATAACTAACAAGACGCGTAGAGTTTTTACCAAATCCAAACCTCAGTTCGCATTCTACAACCTTCCCGAATTCATTGAGTAAAGGACGATTGACGCTTATTTTCAGGTTTACTTAAGATCGTGGGCAACCGACGTGAGGTTGAAGTACAGGTTAACTAATCCAAAATTTATCTGCTCATCAATCTAATCTCTTGGATTGAAAATGAATTACTAGGAATAAATATAAATATGTCTATTATTTACAGCGCAAACTCCAGAAAACCAACTCCAATATATATAAAATTTTACACCAATGAAAAAGGATAAATGTTCCAGCAACTTTAGCTGACATTTCTGTTTCAAATTTAAAAGTTATTGAACCTATTACAATAAACTGGTTGAAACATTGAAAACAATACCTTAATATAAGAACAAAGAGCAGCTTGAATTTTGAAGCAGGCAAACAACATAAGCAATCTCTCTAGTTCCTTTTTGTTATCTATTCACTCTTTTTTTCGACAATTAAGTGTAATCCCACCTATTCTGTTCAAAGCCTTCTTTTCTTGCAGTGCATTCTCTTAACGTCCATCTCCGATTACTCGTGTTAGATGTTCGTGAGGCTTTCCTCTCTTTCCCATCATTCTTATGCATGTTATTAGTATCATTACTACCAACTAACGTATTCTCATAGCTTATAGTATTATACATCTCTCTTCTCGTTATCATCTTATTACAAATCCAGCAATTTTCGAATACTCGTTGAACACATGTGCTGCAATATATATGAGTTTTACAAGGTACTGTTTAGTTAGAACTTACAAATGAAATAAAAACGATTTTGTTTGAATAAGGCCTGTTGCAGTAAAAATAAGTATCTACTGTGTAGCCATGAACATACGAAATCGAAAAGTCATTACACTGGAATGATGATTCTCTGCAGAAATAATATACATATTTTTATCTATCTTATAATCAATGTCATATCTACACATTTGACAGGCTAATGAAAGTTTATATTGAACACCAAGACCAAAAGTCCTAAGTTTAAGGTTGTAAGTTGACATTGCAGACTAGTACCACATTGAGAATGAACGACTATCCAATGTTTCCATGTTTCTAACGGCGATCCAACAGTAACCGTTTCATGATTTCGATCGAACTCCATATTCTACATAAATAAATGTACCACTCTGCTAACTATACGGACAAACATTTTCTCTCATAGTTTTTGTTTAAAATATTGTAAAATCACCACCGAAGTTATATCGATCTGTATTCGAATCAGTAAACAAAGTTACTTTTGAACAAAATAAATAGACAAAATTACATATTTCTCGCGAAATCACTTGGAAAATTGAAAATTCAAAATTTTCTGGACTGTTTTTTGTGAAGTAATAATTCTGATGAAAAAGCTTGATTTATTAAATTATTTAGTTAGGAGACTTCTTCGCTGAATTTTCATTACCATATTGACTTTTAGTAGACAGGGGGGATGGTGGATTCTAAAACCGAAAAAAAACACCGATAAAATTGTTAATAAAAAATGATGATTACTTTTTGAAAAAAATTAAATTTTTATATACAAACAAGTAATGTCACTATAGGTCCACTGATAGAACTTTAGGTTTCATTGAAATAATGAAGCAATCGATGTCTTATTGGGTAACAAGGCTGCTGTTTCGAGGATTTAGAAGACAATTAGTGACTATTCGACAGAGGATTATGTTGTGTTTCTGCAATATATACAATGACCTTGACGATCGCTAATCACTGTACAGACACGTCAGCCTCTCAATTACCAGCCCCACGGAATAGAGGAAAAACAACGAATTATGGGACAGATCAGATCAGATCAGATCGTTTATTATTTCAATCATGCCTTTATATACATGCAAAATCAGACTGCATCGTAAACCAATTAGAAAACTGACATCAATACAAAATAACAGTAATAGTGAGTGTGAACTGGGGTAACGCATAGCAGTCAATTAATTATAGTTCATAATTGAGAAATGATATAACAACAGTTAATGCCTCAAACAAGAGTATAGGATAAGAGCAACGTCACAATAGTAGGAATAAAATGCTTACTTTGTATACAACCAAAAATAATGAATCTTAAGCAGAAAAAACAGTTTTAGGAGATAGTCAATCTTCTTTAAGTGCCCGCCTTAACACCTCCCCCTTTTTTTTGAAAGGAAAAATAAACATCATCGGTAAGATTTTTTATAGGGGTTCACTTTGATCCTGTTTGGTTTCCGTCGAATTCTTTGTGAATTCCTTAGAAATGATGCTGTTCTTGTTTCCACTGCTTTCTTTTTCTGATTGCTTCTGTCAGTCAAATCAAGTAACATGTTTAAGGTCATCGGAGTACTCAGCTTAGCTTCATTCCCGTCATCGCATCTGGACGGTCGGATGTGGTTAGCATGTCTTAGCCATTTCATATTGCTTACTCCGACCTCATAGATAACTCTTCCTCTGTTCCTTAGAATAATTCCAAGAACCCACTCCATTGTTTTACGTACCCAAACCTTTTGTCCGGGTAAGAATCTTCTTGGCTTCGCTCCATGCTTATTGTTGTATTGCATTTCCATTCTGGAATTACGTTCGATAGTCATTTCAAAATTTGGCTTCAAACTATCTAATGGCGTTCTGATTTTTCTTCTAAGCATAGCTTCCGCAGGGGACACTTCACCGACCGTCTCACGATTCGGTGTTGAACGATAAGCAAACAGGAACTTATACAATATCTCTTCTAATCTTCCTTCCCCCTGGGCTTTGAGTAACGCTCTCTCAAAAGTGTCGACGAATCTCTCGACTTGCCCATTTGATTGTGGGTGATACGGAGGGGTTCTGATATGCTTAATGCTGTTAAGAGCACAAAACTTCTGGAATTCTGCAGACGCGAATTGTGGGCCATTATTGGAGACAAGTACTTCTGGGACTCCGAAACAGCTGAATATTTGACGCAGTTTGTCTAGTGTAGCCGTGGTTGATGTAGACTTCATACAATGTACTTCCGGCCACTTAGAAAAAGCATCGATGATAATTAAGTAGTGTTTGCCCTTTAGGGGACCAGCGAAGTCTACATGAACTCTCGACCATGGATGTGTCGCTGGTTTCCAGCAGCAAAGTTCGGTTTTTCTAGGGGCTTTCGCAGCTTGTGCACATTTTGAACATCTCAATACATAATTCTTAACATCAGTATCAATGTTTGGCCAGTATACGTAACTGCGGGCCAATGCTTTCATTCGGACGACACCTGGATGTGCAGAATGTAATTGTGACAGGACTTTGCGGCGCAAAGATTTGGGAATAACTACACGGTCACCAAACATAAGACAATCATCAACAACAGCAAGGGCGTCTCGTCGATGAAAATATTGTCGTTCTGTTTCGTTGAGGTGTGGGGGCCAACCACACAAAAGATAGCGAATAATTGTCTGAAGCTCTTCATCCGTCCTAGTTGTAGATTTTACGTCCATTGCTGACAAAGGTGTAGCCTGAATAGAAGTTTGCAGTATGTGATGAATATCATCTTCCAGTGACACCGTAGCAATAATAACATCTTCGTTCTCAAACTTTTGAGTCGCAATTAATCTGGAAAGGACGTCAGCGTGACCAAAAGTCATTGTTGATTTATAGCGAATCTTAAAGTCATAAGCTAACAACATAATTGCCCAACGCTGTAAACGATTGGCAGTATGTACTGGAATGCCGGACTTTGCCCCAAAAATAGAGAGGAGAGGTTTGTGGTCTGTCAGCAACGTAAATGGTCGACCATAAATCATTTTATGAAACTTCTTTATTGCAAAAATCAGTGCCAATCCTTCTTTTTCTACTTGACTGTATCTCCTCTCAGTAGCATTTAGAGATCTAGAGGCATGATCTATCGGTTTCTCTTTACCATCAGGGAAACGATGACTAATAACAGCACCAATACCGTAGTTAGAAGCATCGGCAGCGACAACTATCTCTAATTTTGGATTATAGTGGGTTAGTAGTAAATCAGAGGATAAGATTTTCTTGATTTCTTCGAAGGAATTCTGGCATGCTTCTGACCAATTCCATGTTGCATTCGCTTTTAGAAGTTGATTCAAGGGATGGCGTAACCTCTGCATAGATGGAACAAAAACACTATAATATCCAATCATACCTAAGAATGATCTTAAAGTCACCACATCGGTAGGTGCAGGCATTTGTGTGATAGCATGTATATTATCTGGATCTGGACGGCGCCCATGTTTATCAAATATAAATCCAAGATATTTAACAGATTGAAGGAAAAATTCACATTTATGTTTCTGCAGTTGGAAACCAGATTGCGATATTCGCGTAAGTACTTTATCCAAACGCGATAATAACTCATCTTTAGAGGAACCCACAACAATAATATCATCAAGATAAGCGGCAACACCATCAAGATTTGATATCATAATGTCCATTAACTGTTGGAAAATAGCAGGCGCTGGCTTTACACCAAAAGGTAGTCTGTTATACTGGTAAAGTCCACGATGAGTATTTATTGTTAGATAAGGCTTAGAATCATCATCAACTTCTACTTGTAAATAGGCATCAGATAAATCCAGTTTTGCAAAATAACGTCCACCATTGAGTTTAATGAATAGATCTTCGGGCAATGGCAATGGATATGAATGATTTTGCAGAGCATTATTTAATCCAGTAGAGAAATCAGCACATAGACGAACAGTACCGTTAGCTTTTTGAACGACAACAAACGGAGCTGCCCATGATGAGAAAGTAATAGGTTGTATAACCCCAAGCTTTTCTAATCGGTCAAGTTCTTTATCAACTCTATCGATAGAGGCATAGGGTACCTGCCGTTTTGGACGAAAAACTGGTGTAGCTCCTTGACGTAAATATAATTTGGCTTTACCAATATTGCAACATCCCAAAATATCTTGAAATACATTCGAATGCTTTTCAAAAAGATGAGCTGTAGTCAAGACGTTGTTGTTTGATGTAACATTTAATACAGGTAGATTTTTAGGAATATGTGGATCTTTCAATGTACACACTGCGTCTAGTGACACCTTCCGAAGATTTAATTTGTCAATCCAATCAATACCAATAAGATCCAAATCATGTCTGTTTGTTAAATAACAAGTCCCAGTAAAAGAATGTACTCCGAATTTAACAGCACAATTTATCATCCCAACGAGTTTTAGAATATCTCCAGATGCATTACGCGCTGTATGCTCAGTAGGCAGTAATGGGGGGCAACCCATCAATTCCCAAGTTTTCTTAGAAATAAGTGTGATATCAGATGCTGTATCCAATTGCAAACGAATCTGAACATCATTAACCAATAGATCTACATATCTTCTTTTGTCAGCGAGATTACACGTGAATGTCGAATATATACTACGTATGGAACTCTTATGATTCCGGGGAAACTTTATGCGTCGTCCAGATTCCAAATAATTCTGTTGTCGGCAGACTGTTTCTTTATGACCAACTTTATAGCAATTGTTGCACTTATGACGTTTATAACGGCAAAATCTCGCGAAATGCCAAGATCCACAAAACCAGCACTTCGAAGACGGTTTGAATAATTTAGTTTGACGTTGATCACTCATTGGAATACTCTTACTTTTGTTGGATTTGACAGCATGGATATTGCAATTTAGTGAAGCATTGCCTTTGGCCTCTACAAGCTTCGTATCATTTTTGAGGTTGACCAGTCGTTTACATTCTGACGTTACCATCTGTAGTGTCATGTCATCGTTTTGCTCAATGCGTGATAGCAATCTTATTCGAATATCAGCATCTGCTGGTGACTGGAGTCCAGAAACAAATAATAAACATTTAAACTGATCATTTGACAATGCGTTTAATTTAAAACGTTCGGCTTGTAGATTGATTCTGCTTGCATAAGACAAATAATCCTCATCTGCATCTTTTGTCAATTGAAGGCATTTATAACGAATATGAAATAAAGATGCTGGTTCACAGAATATTGCATTTAAAATGTCAATAGTTTCATTAAATGTCAGATCTCTTGGATGTCGTGGGAGGATATAATTCTTGTATTTAGAATATTCATGCTGACCAAGTTTTTGTGTTAATAAACGCACCTTCTTCGCGTCATCTATATGTTTATATTCCACTTGAAAAAGATCTTCTATTCTACCGAACCATGATTCAAATGTATGGCCATTCTCTGCATCAAAAATAAATTCTGGAACTGAACTGAGTGATAACTCTATTCCTTTTTCTTCAGGAGTTACTCTGGACTGGATAGCAATTTTTGACATTATTGTTTCCAGCATTTGTTCTTGAGAGGCTAGGAATTGCTGTTGTTGCTGCTGTAGACATAATTTCATTTGCTCAAATGTGATAGTCATATTGATTTTTTTTTTAATCCGCTTTATGACACTGAATGCGATCCTTAGTGCTGATTGGCTAATAAATTGTAGCAGAATTAATGACCAATGACTGCGTAGGTTGGATCCACTTCAAAAACCGTCGCCAGTTTGTTGTGTTTGTGCAATATATACAATGACCTTGACGATCGCTAATCACTGTACAGACACGTCAGCCTCTCAATTACCAGCCCCACGGAATAGAGGAAAAACAACGACTTATGGGACAGATCAGATCAGATCAGATCGTTTATTATTTCAATCATGCCTTTATATACATGCAAAATCAGACTGCATCGTAAACCAATTAGAAAA